CCCGGGTTCGACTCCCGGCTGATGCAACTTTTAAATATCTCCTCCCGCGGTTTAGGTTAGGGCTGCCATGGATGAGCATCGCGTGTGGGTTGCCTATGGCGGCTTCTCTTGTCTTCTACTGCGAGGCAGGCGGTGGGCTCATCGCTCGTCGGCAAGTGCCAGATCCAGTTGTGGGAGCGAGCTCGCCACTTTGGCCTCTGGCCGTGGACCGCTTGGATCGACGGCGCTGGTCGGTATGGCGAGCTCGCTGTCGATCAAGTCCAGCGCTTGTCTGGGAGGACGGGCAGGAGAGACCAGCCATTCCAGATTTGCGGGTACTATGCTCCATTCTCGAGGTCCTTTTGCTCGTGGCCACCACCAGGCTCCATCCTCGATCTCGAGATCGTGGAACCGCTATACATATCCCTCTCTGTGGCGACTTACAGCACTGTGGTCGCTAGCACTGGCGAGTATGCTGTCCTCAAGCTGGACTACGACCCAAACCGGAGTGCGTGCATGAAGCTCGGGCTCGAGTGGGACACGCTCTCGGAGTTACGCGACACAGGTATCATTCTTTCAGCGCAGCGGGCGTGCTCAGCCAGACGACCTCATTGGTTTCTACCACCTGAAAAGCCGAAGGGTTAGTTCTTCTCTTGCACGTCAATTAGCTGACAACGCTGTATCGTTTCTGCCAGGTCATGAGCCAACTAGAGCTGGAGGATGAGGTCCAGACAGATCTGAAGCGAGGCACCGGAGAGTTCACCAAAGACGGCAACGACACCAAGAAGCGCAACCGGGTGCTTCAGCTCACAGGCTTCAGTGATCTCGTGTATTCTTGACGGTGCACCAGTACGACATTGAGCTGGACGTGACGGTGACCAACCGGACCAAGGAGACGCTCCAGAACCTGTGCCTGAAGCGACCATGGGCGACCTGAAGCTGGTTGAGCGGCCACAAAACTACACGCTTGTCCCTGATGCATGCAAGCAAGCATATCAGCGCAAAGGTCAAGGTTTGATCCATTCGAACTCGGCCCAACGTCGGAGGCGGGCGAGATGTAGTCCATGATGTCAATGCGGATGTCAACGTTGCGGTCCAGTGCGCTGCTTAGACTCGTATACGATGTTCCCGAATATCACTCCAGAACAAGGTACGTGAGTTCTTTTCTTTTCATTTCTTTTCTCGATCGGTGGAAGCATCTGCTTGTGTTGCTGGTTTCTATCAGCTCGACCATGAAGGACGTGAAGCAGTTCCTGGATCACAACGTTACGTCCACAAACATGAAGTGCTTGACTCCACGGTACGTTGTCTTAGATCTAGCCTAGCTTGTCTCTGGGATTCTAACAGATCGCAACTGGAGATTGTAGGCTTGGCTTCACGTTAAGGCATTCTTCCAAGCTTTAGAATTTGCTGGCTTTAAAAATTGGCAAAAAAAGCACAAATAAATAATAGAAATTTTTATAAAGCATGTCATTTCTTACAACTACAAGAGTGCATGAAAGAAAATTCTCAGTCAGTCTTTCGTCGGAATGATAATGATGCTAAAATCGCAGCTTCAACTTGTAACTCCGGTTTGTTTTGATTTAATGCATGCATGCCTCACTCTAACTTGATCAGTTTGAATAGAAGCTTTGAACTTCCATCAAAGCTGGAAAATAAAAAAGAGAAAAAAAATGAAAGTTTACAAACTCTAAAATACATACCTACGGAAACTTGTAACGCTTCAAAATTTTCTCCAGCTCATAGCTCCTTGATATTTCGACAAGAACACAATGCATAGGTCTATAAAAGAAAAAGAAAAAAAGATCTCACAAAAAGAATTTCAAACTGGTCTTGATTTTCTGCAACAAGGTGGATATATCTGGGACAATGTAATTCCCTTATCACCTTTCGAGCACTTCACTGCCAAATGCTCAACAGCGGGCAGGCAAAATTTTGAAATAGATCCGACGCTGTAGATAAAATTCCGGGCGGGAACAAAACGGAGATAACCTCATCAAAGAAACCTCCGGGGAAACACGAGCTTGAAGATGTAAGTGACGAGCTTTACTGGCGATCGGATAGAGCTCCCCTTGAAAAACACTGGATCCACTGCCGTGGAGGACTGGAGGAAGAGGAAATTGTCGCGACCAGCTCGTTCTACCTGTGAGAGCCAAAGAAGAACAAACTTAACATCACTCGAAAATCGTGAACGAGATCAGTACCCACTGGCAAAATTCGATGTTGGTCATGGTGAGAAGCACCACAAGTCCACTGTGGAGTAACTTCTGCGTCACTGCCAAGAAGTGGAAATCTCCTGGAAGAAGACCTTGTGTTGATCTGAATCGCTGATGCTCCTGAGTGGAAAGTTCAAGACGATGCACTTGACTTTCGTCCAGTCTGGGAGCTCTCTCGCTTCTTCCGCAGAAGAAGTAACCAAAGACGATGCTTTGAGCCCCCAAAGGATCTGAATTCTCGAAGGCAAGTCCAGGATCACGGTGGAGAGAAATGGATCATACTTCTCTGCTTCTAGATGAGAATCTTCGTTGCAAGCTACCGCGATGGATGCAGTAGCAAGATCTTGCAGCTGATGGATATAAGACAGTACCTCCCTTCAAAAACTAGCATGGTGCCCTCCAAGTTTCGAGTGGAAGAACACAGCACCGTAGGAAACTGAGCTACGTCTTCGTCAAGCTCAAGACGATTGTGTCCCAGCGTGGAACATCCGAGTCGTGCTTATATCGACAATGACCACCATAGCGACATCCCTGCAATACAATCGCTTGAGAACAATGCGAGTTAAAAAGCTGACACTTACATCCCCGGACAAGAAAAACTTTCATACTGCTGGCGTGGAAGAGACAGAGTGTGAGAACTCACAGCCGTTTCCTTTAGCCCAAAAGCCTCTACGGAAGTACACGCATTGCACTTCCCCGTCCTCTTCTTTGCGAAAATGGATCGACTCGTAATTACTCTGCGGTTCTAAGTATCTTGCCTGAGTCTGAAACAGTGGATCGTAAGTGTTGGAAAACCAAAGCACGGGTTCAAACAAGTTACCTCCACAATGATCTTCAGCAAATCTGACTGGTTATTCTCGTTGTGGAAGCTCCCGTTTGAAACATACGGCACGACTCGTCGTCTTGGCTATGAAAGCAGAGGTGCTGGAAGGAGAAAACCGTAGAATAAGATGGAGGTCCTGTTAGAAGCTTTATTGACTGTGGTCTCCACCGATGCATAACTTCTAGCACGGAACTAGCTGCCTCAAAAACAAGCAAGCATCAAGTTTGGTTCTAAAACTCGAAAGACTTACAGAGCTCAGCGACAGCGTTGAGTGAAAACAAAGAAAGGTGATGCTGTTTGCAGAATTCCTTCTCCGACTCCTCTCCATGAATGGTGACGATCGTTGAGGATAAAAACTCGTGCGACAGCTTTTGCCACCGATAGTTGTCCTGTGTGAAAACCATCAAGGAGAGACAAGGAAAAGAAACAAACGAAGTCGTACCTTCAAGACGTACTGCCAGAATTCAAACGCGCAGAGGTTGCCAAGAAGAGCAGCTTGATGAGATTGCCTGACACCATTTTGTGATTCCTGGAAGTACTGAAAAGAATAGTGTGCTGCAGTGCTAGCTCCGAAAGGCAGGATAATCGGACTCGGCGTAGTGTCTAGCACAGAAGCTATGACAGCACACTCATTCAGGTACCCGCGTTCGCAGCCCTCCATGACAAGCATAGAAGCCTCCAAAGATAGTGGAAGACACGCAAGTATTCGTCCGTATGGAGTCGGCAACTTCTTCCCTCTAGCATCGCGCTGTAGAGCGTTCAGTGCTTCAAGTGATTCCAAAGCATCATAAACAGTGTCTGGATAACCCTTCCTCGAGCAGCATTTGTGGGACTTGCGAGACCCACATTCCCTTGCTAAGCTCCGAAAAGAGGGGTAATCCGAGTAAAGAAGAGGCAAACCTGAGCCAGTCTCGGCGAGGATGATCGTGACCCGGTTCATCTCCACCTTCTGGACGATCGCCACCTTGAGGCGCCGCACGGGCTGCCGGGAATATTCACGTTCAATTTTTTCACCCTAAACACTAGGAATTGCAAGATTTCTTGCGCACCCGCTGCATGGCGGACGATGGGGAGGGGTTGCGATCCATTTTAGTGCTAATTGGTTTAAAAGGAAACCTAAAGGTGAAATGACGGCACCGGGAATATTTTGGTGCCGCTAATATTCGATTAGTCTGATTTCCTGGGTATCTTAACATCGACTAAAAATTTTTCGTGTATCTCCAATTCCTTGGCAATTTCGCAGTCAGTACATTGGCACGGAAGCTTGTCCTCCCATTATCAATTCAGTTCTCACTTCGACTTCCACCTTTGTTTCTGGGGCTGGCCTATTGTAATGTTGAGTGATCCGCTTGATCCACGGATGTTCCAAGATCTGGGCTGCCGTCAATCTTTTTTTCTTGTCCAGATTTAGCATCCCCAGCATCAAATCCTTGGCTAACACCGGAACCCTCGACCAGTCGAAGAGAATAAGGGGCAAATCTTCATACCTCTCCAACTCGCTGAGAACCTGAGGTGTTTGAAGCTCCTCATATGCAATCTTTCCCGTGAGCATCTCATACAAAGTCACACCCAGCGCCCAAATATCACAAGATTCTTTGAACCTTTCCCCAGGGGGCATGTACCGTGCAGTTCCACCGCGCATCAATGCCCCCTTTTCCTGCCCCTTCTGCCAGGAGAGGCCAAAATCCGCCACCTTTACCTCACCGTCATAGCCGACTAAAATATTTCCCGGTTTTATGTCGTTGTGAGCCATCCCTAGGGCGTGCATCCGCTGCAACGTCCCCGCCACCTTCGCCACCACAAGTGCCGCCTCATCCTCGCCCAAGGGAAGCCTCGAGAGGAGTGTTCCTTCGCACAGCTCCATTATGATGTGGCAGAAACCCAAGTCACGCACAATGCCGATGAGACGAACCACGCCTGGGTCATGCCTGAGTTGGGCCATGATCTTGAGCTCTTGCAGTATGAGTTTATCGTCGCCCATCATGCTGTTCGTCTTGCACGCAAAGTGTTTCCCATCTCTCAAACGGATCACCTCAAACACCCTCGAGAATCCACCCATTCCTATAGTCTTTGTTACCTGGTACTTGTCTAGCAGATTGGGGAACAATATCTCCATCGTCTTTGCGTTCATCTCCATCTCCCTTTTCTCTGTTGCAAAAAAATGCCAAACCCTAGAGGATACCCTTCCGCTTTTAACTTTAAAGGCCACATAAGTCACCTTTTCTTCCGAGCTTGAAAACTGGTTTAGGGCTTTACAATTTCTGCTCTTTCCAGTGTTGCGCTGGAATCCACCATTATATCGCATGGCATCGCGCTCTTTATTTCCTCCGACTTCCATTCGAGTGATTTTCTTGCTTGTTTCCAGGAATGCCTTACCGTAAAAAATTCCATACAGCTCAAGATTGTGAGAGCGAACGTGGCCGTGCCGGCAACCATAGCCATTTAGGCGATGTTCCGTGCATTGGTATGCTTTTTGTTTTTTTAATGCTCTAACACGTGGCTGAGCTTGAACATCGGTTTCAAAGACGGCCAGCCACGACATTCCTTACGTCGTAAGCTCTTTTTTCTCTTGTTCTCCACAGTTAGTGTTTTTCTTTCCCAGATTGCTCGTCGGGGAAATGGAGCAACCACTGTTTCAGCAACAATGTTTTTCGCTTCAAAGGTAGTTTCTACATTGGGAAAAAGAGGAGTCTCTGATGGATTATGTTCCAGGCAGGAATCAAAGTGTTCGTAACTGGAGGTATTGGAGGAGTTCATCGACAGGGTGAGTCAAGTAAGCCCAATGTTCTTTCTTATGTCATACTTTTGTGTCTTCAACTTTGTTTTTATTAAGCTATGGACGTGTCCTCGGACTTGACAGAACTGGGTAAAACTCCAGTTGCGGTGGTTTGTGCAGGGGTAAAATCAATCCTTGACATTCCACGAACACTTGAATACCTGGTAAGACCATCGTATAGCGCACGAGTGTTTTAATATGAAACAATTTGCAGGAAACTCAAGGAGTGACGGTTGTTAGCTACTCAACTGATGAATTTCCAGCATTTTTTACTCCTAACAGTGGCTGTAAAGCACCTTGCCGAGCAGACAGCGTGGAGGAATGCGCAGCCATCATAGGTAAGCTCTAGCCATCGTGGTTATCGATTCTAACTTGACACTGCAGAGACAAACACGAAGTTTGGATTGGGTTCAGGCATTTTGATCGGTGTTCCAATACCCGCAGAGCATGCAGCAGCAGCTAAAAACGTGGAATCGGCCATACAATCGGCACTGCACGAAGCAGAGTACGTCTCAGTGACCTCTCTTGCTATTCCTACGTGTTTTTTTTTTAATAGGAGCAGAGGTATTGCCGGTAATTCTGTGACGCCATTCTTGCTCAAGCGCGTCAACGAGCTCACTGGAGGCCATTCATTGGCTGCAAGTATCCTTTTGTTTGGTAGTCCTCCTTTGGTAGTTTTTCTTTGCTACAATTGACAGATATCCAGCTCGTGAAGAATAATGCACTCGTTGGTGCGAAGATTGCAACGGCTCTGACAACAACTTCACTAAATCGTCTTGACACTCGGCCCCGATTGGTAGAACTGTTGTCCACAAAACGCGTGCGTGACAGCACTGTTTCTTTTTCCCATCTGTTCTCTTTGCCTGTTTCTTTTTTTCTGTGCTTTCAACAGATTATACTTCCCGCGGCATGTCGCTAGTGGCAACGGACAAAACACCACACTTATAATGCCAGACACGGGAAAACTAAACTCGAAAGTGAGTTACTTACGAGGTAGAGACGATCAGCATCAACACGTTTATTGCTTTTGAATTTCGTCTTGCTTTGCTGTGTTGGATTACAGATGGGCAACGAGCTCAGTTTTTCTCACGAGAAACTTCTTGCCACACAGCCAATCCTCTCTTGCCATTCGAGCCTCGCTCGCGCAGAAGCTTCCTCCTATGAACAAAATATGGCGACCTTACTCTCTCTTGAGCTGGATCTTAGTAAGCCTCCAAGGCTCCAACTCATGCTTCTTCCTATCACGCGTTTATTCCGCGGCAATGGCAACATCTATAAATCTCCATCACCACTCCAGTGGCAACCATTGCAAACTCCAGTATTCGAAGTTTCATCCCAAGCCTTCGATCATACAAGTCTCCTCTTCCTGCCAGGAGTTTCGACCGAGCAATGGGCGCTCTCAAAGTCATTGCATTGCTGTTGTTGGTCGAGCTTGCATTCTCTGCTCGTCTCCCACCAAATTCCGATGTGTCTTTCTCTGAGAACTACTATGTCCGATGGGCCAATGATCATACGCGAGTGCTCAACGGTGGCAGCGAAATGCAGCTTGTTCTCGACAAGGTTTCAGGTAACAATCCCTGTCTCAAGCTTCTGTTTTGCTGATCAAGTCCTGTTGCATGATAGGTGCTGGATTTGGGTCCCGCAGCAAATACTTGTTCGGTCATATCAGCATGAAGATCAAGCTGGTTCCTAATGACTCTGCTGGAACTGTGACGGCATTCTACATGTCCTCGGAGACCGACAAGCACGATGAGATCGACTTTGAGTTCTTGGGGAACGTTTCCGGGCAGCCATACATCGTCCAGACCAACGTTTTCGCCAATGGCGTTGGAAACCGGGAGCAGCGACACTACCTCTGGTTCGACCCCACTCAGGACTTCCACAGCTACTCCGTCCTCTGGAACAAGCAGCAGATCATGTAAGTTTTTTGCGAACACTTCTCGATAATCGCTCAAACTGTGGTTTTGGTCCCCCAGATTCTATGTGGACGATGTCCCTCTGCGTGTCCACAAGAACAACGAAGCCATCGGGATCCCATTCCCAAAGAGCCAGCCAATGGGGATCTACTCGAGCCTGTGGAACGGAGACGACTGGGCTACTCGCGGCGGGCTGGAGAAGATCAACTGGGATCACGCTCCATTTGTGGCGGCGTACAAGGGATTCAGCGTGGATGCTTGCGCCGGGGGTGTGGAGTCGTGCAGCGCTCCCAAGGGCAACTGGTGGGAGCAAGAGGCATTCCAGAGCACCGACGAGGAGACCAAGAGCAAGCTCAAGTGGGTCAAGGACAACTACATGATCTACGACTACTGCACCGACAGCAAGAGGTTTCCGACGACTCCCGCGGACTGTGGCCAGTTTTGAGAGCTTCCATGTACTTACATTCTTTTGTACAGCACTATTCTTTTGTAATAGAAAATGTTCTTTTATTTTTTCATTTGGGTTCTTCAACACATTAGTTTTAAGGACGATCATCCAGGTAATGAAGAAAATCAAAGTTTGTTCAGATTGTCACACATTTCCAGGATCTCAAAGAGGAAGATTATTTTGCATGATTCGACGAAGTTTCATCACTTCGAGAATGGTGCTTGCTACTGGTAAATTTAGAGGCATCTTATTTCGCTGCCAAGTAATTCTCCAAATTTTAGGATCGTTTGGTAGACTCTAGACCATGGACAAAGATGGTTTCATCAGACACTATTCTGTTCCACTATTGACGTCAAAGCAAGCGTGACGCCCAACATGGAAAAAAAGAATCTTTTACGAACTATGCAAAGAAACAGGAAGTCGGGGATTAAGGCAACGTGCATTGGGTGGGAGGAACGCTGAGCGTAGCGACCATCACAGCCAGAACTATAAGAACAATCGTCCACAGGTGGCCAATTGGGGATGTGAAATCGCAGGGAATGAAACCCCGGGATTCATCACAAAAAAAAGGTGGCAAAGGTGATTCAAAAAGTCGTTATACGGAAGAACAAAAAATGCAGCATGCAAAGCACCCGACTTCATAACTTTAATAAAGGCAAGAGCATCAGATATTTTTATGCCAGCCTGACGTGCATATATACATCCCACATATCTAACAGTTAAAAGACTAGAAGAAGGTAGTTAGCTTTTTTACCTGTATTGTGGTAGAAGCTGCTGAAGAAGAGGGATGAAATTAATCTTTGTAACTACCTCTGTGAAAATAGAAAGCATTTGCTTAGAGCCCGTTGTGTAGTTGGTTTTCAGTTCCGTTAAACCCTTCTCCAAGCTTTCCAAGTTCTTTGTCACGTCTTTTATGTTGTTTTCCAAGTCCTCTTTGTTGTCTTTCATGTAGTTTTTCAAGTCCTCTTTCTCCCTTCTCATTTCACATGGCGTATCCCAAGTAAAGTTTAGTCAGCGTTCAAACTTACATGGAGGCGTTTGCCTGAACAAGTGATCCAGTGCAGGGCTGGAAATTTGGGGATACTACCTGAATGAATGTGCGCCCTGACTTGAAACCCTACATCGATCCTATTCCCATACTGAGATCCAACGGCCGAGATTGAATTATGGAACTTCTTGGTTAAAAAGCATAAGCGATTCTTCGGGCGGCTATTCATAGAACGATCATAGAACGCTGGGCAATCTAAGGCATGAAGCCAATCCCCCACGTCTGTCGGCTTGGATTAATAATTGGAACCACTACACTCATCGATTATTTGAGGTATCACTGTGGAAAGCCCTCTTGTCATGTTCTTGAGTCCATATTTTCTCCTAGAAGAAGAAGCATTGCCCCAGCCGATGAGCTGAATCCAAAGCATAGAGCGGCATTTGTGCAGCTGCCTTTTTTGTAGTCAGGCTACATTCTTCTATAGGACTCCTTCATAAACATTCCCATTCGCAAGAAAGCTCCTTCAATGAGGTGGTGATCAAGCAGGCCAAAAAGGAGCCTCTCACTTGCTCGCTTCTTGGCCGCCTGTAACACCACCAATTGGAACAACAAAATTTAAAATTTCTCAACTACTTCAAGAAGGGCTACCTCCCAACGCTACTGTGGTAGAGGGCGATCCGTCGCAAGCCATGGAGCAGGAAGAGGCTTGCGGTTAAGCTGCAGCTGGCTACACTAGCATTGGAAGAGTCCAAGAAGCCAGAGAGATGCCGAGAGGAGATTCCTTCCATGCTGCGTGCGAGGTATATGAAGTTTATGCATATTTGTGTCCTCATAATGAGTGAGCTCCTGAGCTTTGAAGGCACATGAAGAACACCTGGGCTTCACAAGCTACTTTGACCTGGGTGATGAAGCTGGTATCTGTCAGGTCGGAAGGCATTGCTGCTCAAATCCAAATAGAGATGTCTTGCAGATGCAGGTACCTTTTCCTCCTGCTTCTGGATCAGAGGATGCTCGCTGGAAAGCTATGAGTCCACCTTGTTTTGGGGAATGGAAGCTAAGCTTAATGTTACAAAACTTTACTTGTTTCTTTTAGTACTCTTTTAAGGAAGCAACATGATTATAACAGACAAAGCATGTACAATCTATATTGTAATACAATGGAAACATTTCAAACACTTGACAATTCTGAGCGTATGCAGACAGAAAGGTATTCCACCCTACACAACTGGTTCCACTAGATGTTCCAAAGGTGATAAGAACGCATTCTACTCCCATATTGCAATATATCCTCTCAGATTCCTATTGTTGGCTTATGCTACAAGAATGGCTGTCCATGATACCAGGTCATCGACATCACATTCCAGAGCATACACATCAATTAAAAGAAATTTGATTTTCTTGGTCGATTTACCTACTTGGCTTTTTCAAACAAACAATATTAGGTTTATAATGTTACAAGAGCCTATAATGTATAAGAAAATCATATCTGCATTATCATTTTCTCTAGACTTGGCATGGAGATTTGAGAGCTCAAAGATCCATCATTCATCCAAAAGAATACTAAAATCGCCCATAAGCCAAAAGAAGACACCCTGAGCAATTCCAGTAGCACTGGATTCTTGACGCCCTTGAGGATGCTAGATCTGTGCCAGGGCAATAGTGAGAGTTGGAGGCCGTGGCCACCGGAAATTTGACTGGGGGCGCAGCAGTCGAGTATCTCTTTAAGATGACATTCAGTATCTTGCAAGGCAATGCTGATGGCATATGTCCAAAGTGTGAATTTCTACGTGTGTGGAATGCCCACATAGAAAACATATTGAGGCATCTCTTCTATCACATTGGTCGCTGATTCCAATTGGTACCAAGGGCTATTCCAGTTGGTACCACAAAGCCTACTCTGGGCACGTGGAGGCCAAGGCAATCTTTGAAAGAATGCCAATGTGGGAGCTATTGATGTGGAACTCCATGCTGGTAGTAGGTGTCCAGAGAGGCATGGAAGCTTTTTAGAAGCATGCCTCAACAAGCTACCAAGGCCCAAAAGCTAGATAACTTGGAAGAATGTTGAACTCCCTTCAATTCCATGCCAGAGCACAACACAGCTTTGTGTGTTACCCTTTAAAATTGAATATTTAATAAGTAAATACTTTCAAATGCCCAAATAGTCCTAGCACCAGCGATAGGTTCTCCAAAATAGTGGAGGATTGAAGACTTGCGGTTCCATTAACACAATGAAAAGGATTGTAGTATTCTGTTCAAGTAAAGCATAGAGGGACCAAGAGTGATAAAGAAATCAATTTGCATCCATTTTATTGTAGTCTAATGCTTCCAGTTGGGTGCCAGATGACCTTTAAAAAACATGTAATGGTAATAGGAATGATGATTGGTTAATGATCACTATGCTTAGAATTCACTATGTTTATGATCCCCACCTTAGAATTCTGCCATTGACAGTTGGATCCTAACATGTCTGCCATGTCTAACAGTCAAGTTGAGCATGGCATTTCTGGCAGTTCCATTCAAACTTTCTCTGTTGTTGATTGTGTACAATGTCCAGCTAAAAACCTCTCAATCTAAACTTCTTATGAACGAAATTTGACTAAATTTTTTTTATTTCAAGAGAGATATAGCCATGGTGGTTGGTGGTTTTATGTGAGCTTGTAAATGAATCAACTCAGTGTAACATTGAGGAATGGGAAATTTGGATATTTTCAAAATTGCATTATACAATCATAATGTACCCTTCTTGACAATGTTTTGGCTTGCAGTGCATCCAGAAATCTGGCTGGGATCTTAGGTGGGTGTCCCAATATGTTTAGGTCCTTAACAATATATGTCACTGGGGTACATAAATTGTTTGCTCAGCTCTTGATAAAGTTGACCTTCTTTATGCTCAACACGAGTGTGTTGTTTTTCTACCATGTCACTCACTCTTTCCATATTTCCTCGACTTGACTAAGCCTAAGATCCTATGGGCAATTTAGACTTTCTACCATCATTGATTACATAATTGCTTCACCAAAGGAGAATGGCTTTTTTTCAATGATACTAAGTGAGGCTTGATTCACATTAATTTCTGGCTCTTGCAACGCCAAGCAAGTTGTAGAATAGTCCATACTCAAATGTCATGATCACTACATGGAAACAGTAAGTTTAGTTTGATCCCTGAAAAAACAACACAAGCAATTTGATTAGGTACACATCATAGATTGCTTGGAGAATAATGCTATAACGCTGCTTCCTGTCAAAGTAATCTATGATGTTTGGAGAGTTTGATTGTGTAATCTCAAAGTGTGTGCAACCTATCGCTCTTGCAAGTAAACCATTAGAACAATGCAAGAAGAGAATTAGTTTTTACCTACAACATTTACCAGCTTGATGTGAGTCACATCAGAAAACTCCTGGCTGATACCTTCAAGACTCCGAGCGCTTTGCAAGCTTCCACATACCGAGTACATATGGACGAGAGCCACGAAATCATGCGATGCTTCGTCACTGTCCATGCGAAAGTGGATCTCCGTGCCGATCTCTAGCTGCTTGAGAGTGCTGCAAGCCTTGAGCGCTGCGGGGATCAAAGAAATGCCTGGAGCTGATCCTTTTTCTCGCATTCTTGAGTAGAGTTCGAGCGTTTCTTGGTCTGATGGAAGAACGTTAGAGCTATCTTTGGTGCCGAGAGCCTCGAGCTTGATTGGCACCCAGCTCGGGCAGCCACAGGAATCAATCCCACGTGAAGACATGGACGGAGCCTTGGGAGATTTCTACACGGAAAAAGAGTCGTGTTAGCTTACCTTGGATGATCTCCGACCACTTTGCTGGATCTTCCAACAGATGCTGCCATTTGCGCTCTTCCGATCTGGCTGTGTGCTGCTCTCTCTAATTCCCAGAACCATTCTTCTTCCTCTTCTTCTCTGTGAAAGAAATCGCTCCGAAAGAAGGGAGAGAGGATAATTTCAAACATCTGTCTAAGCATCAGTAGTCCAACGGGTAGGATAATTGCCTTCCAAGCAATAGACCCGGGTTCGACTCCCGGCTGATGCAATTTTTAAACAACTCGTTGTGGGCCTTGTCACCAAGCCGCTGGGGAAGACATAATTGCCATTACATAATTGCCACCAACTATAGAGAATATCAGTGTTTTGTATTGGCTATGTTTTTGTTTGCTCACAGTGTTTTTATTTCCCTTTGGTTCTAGAAATTAGTCTGGTTTGTTTGACCGGAACAGTCAACGGCGAGCCGGCATAGTCAACGGCAAGGAGAGGTACAGTCAACAGCATGGATATCTCAAGTTGACACCAACATAAGAGTTGAAGTTTGTATCCATTCCATTCAATTGTTAAAGTTTAGAAGAGCTTAGCTAGCCCATGCAGGAAGAGGGCACTCAAACGACCACTCCTCGCAAGAATATTGCACACAATGCAGCCATAGCCCGTCGGAGTCGTCGTCATAGCCCGACGGTCCCAAGCGTGGACAATGCGTACACAGTGGATCCATCTCAAAACTTGGTTCTTCTCGATCATCGTCGACCTTTCTCCTGGAATCTGATCAACAGAAAGGTGTCGTTCGAAAGAAAGAAGACAACGAAGTGATCCGAGCTTGTTTGTTTACCTTGTGCCTGTTGCTGGCGGCTCATGTCACTCCTTGCTGCCGAGTCTGCTGTTCCACCCCTTTTGGAGCGTTTTGGAGGATTTTCATGAAGGTAAAGGTCGTCGTTGGCGATGGGGTGTTTTAAGTGCTGCAAATGGACGCGTATCTAGAATGTGAGAGGAAAAAGCTTAGCAAACGAATCAAGAGACTAAGTTCCTTGCCTGGTGAGTTCTTCCTGTCAGAGGTTTGCATTCAACGATGCTGGATACTCCATCCGTGCTTAGACGCACAAACCTCGTACAAGCTTCTTTCCCTTTGCTATCCTGTTCTTCGCAAACCTGGAAAACTTGAGAACTGCAGTAAGAAATTGCTCACAATTGTGATGTTTACCTCCACAGTGCTCCTCCCTTCCCGTGCATCGTAATGAACAGCAGCATTCACCACCACCTGAGAAAAATCTTACAAGAGAGTCATCGAGAGCGGTTTTTTACCTCTTCTTCTGGAAACACGCCAGTAACTTTAGCAACGTAAACTTTGCGAACTCTACCATTCTCGATCTGCAAGCATCACACAAAGACGTATAGCAAAATTTAAAAAGCGAAGGAAGCTTACGTCCTGCCGAAACTTGTCCGCTTTCACAGCGCTTTTGGCGAAAATAAGAAGCCCAGAAACAAGACGATCGAGCCTGTGAACAGCTGATAGAAAATAAACGAGTTGAAAGAAAAATTGCATGAAAAGAGCTAGTTTACGGAATAAAGGTCCGGTGTTGTGCTCTGCTTGCAGGATGCCAAGCACAGTGTTCTTGCGGTACTGCCCGCAAGTATGGACCTGAAGAACAATAGTGGTGTTCAAAGTTTTCTTCCTTGCAAGTAGTAGAATTTTTTGGCACTCACTGGTATAGATGCTGGCTTGCATACTGTGAGAACTTCGGGTTCCTCGTGGAGAATTACAATACTCTCGGCCAGAACCGGTGGCTCATGCCTGGCTATCAAAATGGAAAAGCAGACTAGAAATCAATGGAAGGACTTTAGAAGTGATGTGAAGCACCTGTGAACAAAGTGGCTCAGTTTCTGTGTCGTTCGAACTCTATATTCGCTATCACATTTTTTATCCTCTACCAAAATCCGGCCTGATCGAACAGCATCAACCTGCAAGAACAATGCCAGGTTTGATCTTTGCTTTCCAAGGAAAAACTCACATAATACTCATACGGCCTTTGCCTGAATTCGTCGGCAAACATGTCCACGATTGTCTTTCCAGACCATCGCTGCTTCACCTGAGCAACGAGAAAAGAGAGATCAAAATCAAGTTTTTCTTTCGAAATCGGAGAAACAAAAAAAAGAGAGATAAAAATCAAAGGTTTTCTTTCCAAACCCGGAGCCACAAAAAAAAGATAGATAAAAATCTTTCGAAACCACTTACATGAGCAATGAACTCGAAATAATACGGTAGCACGAATCGCTTTCCTGTGACACAATGAAATGCAGGCGCTAGCTCACGACCAGAGAATTCCATCATTTTCTTACCGCCCACGATGATGTAATGCGAGGGAAGGATGGGCGTGTCGGGGTTCTCCCACTCCATTGCTGTCTAAACCCTAAACGTTGTTTAAAACATAATTAAATTTCTTATCAATATTTTATCTATTCCAAGTTAACCCTGTTTAGGGTTTCTCTAGCTATGGAGGGAACTGAGCCCCAGGAGATCTCCCGGCTCTTGGAGGTAATGCGCATTGGATTTTCATTCTCACTCCATCTTCTCAGGCGCTCAGAGTGCCGCGGGAGCTCACGAGGTCCTACGCGAGCAGCCAGGAGCGAGACGGTGCCAGGGCCGAGTTCCTGGCGTCGTCGCGCGAGGCGCTGGTCGCCCTGAGAACAGCGCTTGTGTCTGGGAAATGGGAGGAGCCTCGCGAGAGAGAGGTGATCTCTACGCTCGCTACTTTTGCTTGTGGCGAAGTGGAGTGGACGACGGACGAGCTCGGGGAGATCGCAGTGAGTGCGATCGATTGTCTCGGCTCGTCTAGGCAGCAGCTGGTTTTGGATCACTTGCGAGAACTTTTGCTGGAGATCCACGCAAGTTTGAGGCATGGAACAAGAGAGGCCACTGCTCAAAGCTTGTATGAAGAAGGGCATTCTTCTCACGACGCTTCAAATGACATCGTTCTGGCGCATCAAATGTCTTGGATACTTTCGCAGGTAAGTCTTTGTTCTCCATCTAGCTCAAAGTCGTAAGTTTTTGGATTACTTTTCTTTGTAGATTGGCCATCCTCATCTCGGCAAGCACTGCCAGATTATCATGCCCTGTGTTCTCACAGCTTTAGATCACTACTCACCTCCAATCAAGGTACATTCTCTTTTACAGTTTTTCCTCAGCTTGTTCCTTTTTTTTTTCTCCTGTAGCGCCAAGGATTGGAATGCTGTCTCCATTTGGAGCAGGGCATGAACTCCACCGAGCTGAGGTGGTACAAAGACGTTCTACTCGATGCCGTATGTCAAAACATCGCTGGATGCGACGAGTTGTGGCCGCTGGTCGTCAAAACTGCTGTTCGCCTTGTGACGCGTATAGAAGGACGGAATGCCCGCTCGCCTTGGTAAGACGAAAGCTCCTTTTTGAGTTTGATCAGGAAAAATCTCTAAGGCATCCACACAGGTACAGGAAAATCCTGGCTGAGATGCTGGGTGAGCTTGAGAGGCATCCGGACGACAAGGAGAAACCGAATGTGTTCCTCCAAGAGATCGGACCTCAACTCAAGGCGATGGGCCTTGTGTTGGTCGCTCTCTTCAAGAGACTGTTCGCTCTTCTCTTCTACTGGCTTGACACTGGAGACAAAAGGACGTCCATTCTGGTGAGAATTCAACGCAAATTACGTTCCTTCGTCCTGATGACAAATTGTTTTCTTCTTCGCGTAGGTTCTTTCTTGCTTGCGGGCTGTGATTACTCACACTTGGATCCGAATACCGCATCTTGCAAACAGGTTCGTGTTAACATTCTCTTATTTCCTGACAATCTTGCAAACGTTCCGGATGAACAGTATCTGGGAGCAGGCCGTGAAGCTGCATTGTAAAGTCGCGGACTTGGAAGTACGCGCGGCTGTTGCCGAGACGGCGTGCTATCTAATTGAGTAAGAACTTCCACACGCAAATTCTAAAATCTTTCATTTATCGATCTTTCTCAGGTGCGTTGGTCCGGAGATTTTGGAGACTCACCAGGACGACGTAGAATTGGTGGCTGCAGTAAAATCTATAAAAGCTTATGAAGCCCAAACTCCCAAAACTTAACTAAAAGTGAGCGCCAAATTTCCTTTTAGGTCGAAAGCCACCACCTTTCATTTCAATGCACCACGACCGTTGACGGCACGAGCGTTCTAGACACTCCTCGGATGCTTCCATGAATTATAAACAATCAATCACGGCCAGCTGGAAAACAGAAGGTAAACCCTCTAGCAAGTTTCCGGGGAATATTTCCGAACAAGCTCACTAGGGCTGGAGCAAACAGAGCGATCAGGATCCAAAGAGCAACTCATCCATGGGTCGGGAGCAGCGGCGGCAACGAAAGCGCGGGCATGTCAAGGCGGCTATCTTTTCGTCACTCCTCCAATCTGTTTGCTCGCTCTGTTCCCAGGTCAAGGAATCCATCGCCGCCAGCGATTGCTCCGGCTCCTTTCGAGCTCTCTCCTTTTCCTCCAGCAAATGTTGCAGCTCTAGATCGGGAGATCTGGGCGAGGATGAAGATCATAGCAGCAGATTGATCGGATGACCGAACGGCGGCTTAGTCAACCTAGTGAGAAAGACTAAAGCATATCTGAAAGAGTCGTCTCGCATTAGATGACGAGTCAATGTGTCAGATTTGTCTAGAAGCCTGGAGTTTAAGTCAACAACTGCCAAGATTTCCAAGGTTGATTGTTTGACCGGCACAGTCTACAACCCAGTAAATCCAGTCAGTAAGATTGTTCTCTGTGTGTCAATGCAATCGGTCAATGTGTAATTTTTCTCTAGGGGAGTTTTAGTTAAATCCAGACTTCAAGGTATTCCATGCCTGACTGTTTGACTGATACAGTCAACAGCCCAGCCATTGTTGTTCTACTTCGTCTCGTCTATGTATAAGGAACAAAAGAAAAAGTTAAAGAGGTGGTGGCCACTGGTTAGTGGGTGCATTTTCAAATGATTTTTTAAAAAGGCAAAAAGATCTCACGAGATTTGTCTGGCTAGGCCAAAACAAAAGGCCTGTGGAGGCACGTGCTTGAATTGGCAGGCCTCCGAGAAGCTTCTTCTGGTGCTGCAGGGAACCTTCGCCAGCTCATTCTCGCCCCTATCATGATGAATGCACCTGGCCAAGACGTTACTTGCATTCCACTCCACTCCAAGTTTAAATTCTCGAAGCAATCAACGTGATCAAAGTTACGTTGGCGATATTACTTTCATCCGGTCAAAGCCACACTAGTATATATAACCTGTTTGGCAGCGGGGGTTTTTATCCATACTCTTCTCCATCATTACTTATCTCTCTCTCGCTCTCTTTGTGTTCTTCCGAGCTCTATCGATCGATTCGATGGAAATCTCGAGCAATCTGCGTGATGGGTCCTCGGCCGCGGCAGTGATCGAGCTTCTCAAGAAGGAGCAGCTCAAGAATTCGAGGGCCAAGCACAGGGTGCCCAGAAGGGGGCAAATCAAGGCCGCCATCGCGGCCTCCATGGCGCACTCCATCGCCTCAGCATTCTCCGAGATCAAGCGGCACCTCACGCCCGCTCCCTCGCGATGTCACTCGTCGTGTGGATCCTCGCTCAGCCGATCCAGCTCCACCGGATCTCACGACTCGTCGACCTTCAGGCTGTGATGGAGTGATCTATAGCAAGATACAAGATCATCAAATTGGGAAATTCTCTTTCTCCAAATCGTCTCCAGCATCTCCAGAGATTGTGCTCGAGGCCGGGTCGTGATCTCGAGCCATGGCTCCAGCACAAGAACAGAGATGTTTGCATCGCGCAGCAAAAATGATCCATCCAAAGTCTTGTTCATAGCTTGATCAAAAGGATTTGCAAAGTCAATAAATTTGGTTGACCAGAATATGCGTTGTCTTTGTTTTTGAATATTCCTTGTTCCAACGTGTTTACTCATTTGAATGAAATGTTTTGGCGCTCACGAGACTCTAGGGCAGCAAGAAAGAAGATGCGATGATCGCCAGGGCGAAGGCGCTGCTCAAATCCTGCTACAAGGGAAAGGTTTCCAGGGATTTCCAATCGATCGCAGCTTCTTTCATCTTCTTTCATCGATCTAAGGTCGAAATCTTTCATCCTGTTTCTCGCAGCTCGATGCGGCCCTAGAGCCAGCCGTAGAGCAGCCGCCGCAACCAGGGATTCAAGCGATGCCTGAGATTTCCACGTTGCGAGGGCTTCCTTTCCTGATTTCCGCAGCATTCGTGGTGAAGATGGTCCAGGGCACCCTCTTTGGCGACGACAAGGTAATCGAGGTGAAGATGAATCCTTTCCTTGGCCAGGAGGACTACCTGGTGTACAAAAGGTTCGAGCAAGCATTCCTCGGCGCTGCTAGTGCCCAGCCAAAGCTCGGTAAGAGGATGAGATTTTTGAGATTATTTCTCGACCAATTTTATAAACTTTGATCAATGTGTTTGCAGCCAAGATCACGGCTGCCGATTTGGAGAAGTCTACAGGTTTTCAGTACCACAAGTTGAGCGACTGGATTCTCCTCCTCTACCATGGCACTCCGAGCACCAACATCTCTTCCATCCTCGAGAGTGGATTCGCCACGGTTGCCGCTCGGAGTAAGAACAGATACTGGTTTAGTGGCGACCCATTCGTTTGCACCTCTTACGCCGACGAGGACTCCAGCGAGTACTACCTCCTTGCGGTTTTGGTGCTGTATCCAGAGAAGGTAATTTCTCGTAAATCTTTTTCTCTCATGTGACCGATTCATAGATGGGAGATGATGGTACATACGCGGTTACAAAAGAGTTCCAGAGCCACATTCTACCGGTCGCTACTGTAAGGATCCAACGTGCCACTGCGAACAATACAGGTATAGACATGTTCTCATATGAATCTAGTCATGGTTTTTTATTAGGTGTGATCCAAGCTCCTCTGTCGAAGACTTACCTGGAGCTTCTGCGAATTTTACAATCACGATCACCAGTGAAGTGATGGTTTCCTGGAGGTATTATCTTCGTATTTTTGTTGAGTCCCCCAGGTATTGAATTTTCAAAACGCTGCAGGTAGGTACCGAGCTCGGAAATGCTCATGATCAACTGTTTGCTACAAAAAAAACTCTCAAAAGCTGGAAAATGAGGATAATCAAAGCTCAAGTTTGGATTCAAGGAACTCGCAAATCTTCGGCATTGCTTCAACTGTCGTGTACGAGTGGTCTCGGTGCCTGCTGACAATTCGATGCAGTTGTACTCTGCGTTGCTCGCGCTCGAAATCGTTCCCAGGTACTGCCACAGCATCTCAGCACGCTTGTCTTCCTGCCTGTGCGAGTGGACAAATAATCCACACAGGAGTAAGGAACACTTGTTCTTCTTTGCCCCGCTGACTGAATGTTTGGTGTCTTGGTCTTTTGTTTCTTGTTGTTGTTTATCAGGACTTTGATCCAAGACAGAGGCATTCTTGATGAGTGACCCAAGTGGAGCAGAACTTGAAACCCAGTGTGCAGAGTTTTGCACCACAAATTTTCGAGCAATGCTCGAAAGTCTCTGTAGGATCACCACCATAAAAACCATACATATGCAAAGCTTATGCTTACCTCTAGGCGATGAGACGAATCAGAAAAAGCAATGCATTTTAGCCTTTGGAGAACTTCCGACTCTGAGGCAAGACAAAGGGTTTGAGTAGAATGGTATCCAGATTGAACATAAAATAAAAATAAGAATTTGTGTAACCTCGCTGTCTGATAAGCTCACAAGCGTTGTATCCACCGCAAGAATGTGCAACAAAAGCGAGCTTTTTTGCAGGAATGTTCATGCAAATGTTATCCCAAACACATATAATATGATTTGAGCGTGTATCACTGCCTGAAATTTTTATTCCCTGCAAAGAGCTCAATAATATTTAGTACTAGGAAGTTTTCTTTACCTCTTCTGGTGAGTTATAGTTAGGATTAAGGACTAAAACAGCAAAATCTCGCTTATGTGCCCATTCTGCATGGACAAGAAGAAAATATGGCTTTTTTCCCTTGTAATATAAGCTTACCAATAGAAGGTAGAACGCTACCAATTAGAATAGAATCCTGAATTTAAGAAGTTATTTGACCAAAACTCTGAATAATCATACTTACATTTATGCAAACTTTGTGAGACCATAAACCTGCCCTGCAAAAGTCAATATTACAACTAAAATTTTTGTGTATTAGCTGTATCTCACTTGATTTTTCCTGCTCCACAAATGCAAATAAGCAGCACTTTAGAAATTGCTACATTAGAAGACAGAAATACAGGACATTTAGCCTGGCCCTCTACAGATAATTGTTCCAGTGGAAGCTCTAGCTTTGTCATTCCATACTTATCAACCATGAGATCTTGCACAATTTTTGCTATAATCTCCCTAACTTGGTCATAGTATTGTTATAGAATTTTGTTTTCAGAGTAATTGAAAATAGAAATCATTACCTGATTACTAGCATCATGTTTGAATGGAGCTGCACTTATATCACAAATTTGAAAGCTTTCCTCATCAATGATGTAGCCCAACTTCTCAAGCTTCATTTTAGCCCTAGTCTTAATTAGTATTTAGGATAAATTAAAGAACCTTTGCCTTTTCAAGGTCTTAGAACATTATGAGATCAATCATTGAGATGCATGAGTATAAAATGATTAATTTTTTTCAAATTTTAATTTATGTAGATTAATTATTTTTTGGCATAAAATAATAAATATGCAGATAATATTTGTGGCTTACTTTAAAATCCACTTCAAATTCAAATTTTAAAATAGTCTAGGTCAATTGCATAAATACTTTATAGTTTGAAAGGCTAACATATTCTTTCAAAGGTTTTAGTTTTAGGGCTTAATCAATTGTTCATAGAATTAAATTTTAGATGTCTAATATTTATATACCAATCAAGATTATATGACTATGGGATAGATAATAAATAATTAAATATAAAATATTACTAAATAAAATAAATTTATAATAATATATTATATTTATTTTATTATAAAATTTTAAATATATAAACTATTTAGTTAATCAATGAATAATTAAATGAATTTTTCATAGCCTTCAATTATGTACATAATCAATATAGGCAATATATGGTATAGTGTCAAATGTGACTTTATTGTTTTTAGATAAAATGTTTTTTGAGAATAAAGATTACAAAATAATATAAATATAAAAACTTAAATTTTATCTTTGTTAGATCATGATTGAAGTGATAATAATATTTATCTATAATAGTTAAGATATTTAGTTAACAAAGTATTAATTCAAGAAAATAATTATATATAAAGATTTTTAGGGAATTCTAAGTGTATGCATATTTATAAGGTATTACTTGCAAATGCTACTCAATCAAAACTAAATTAAAACTTCATAGAAAAATCACTATCGACAAGGTTTAGACTAGGTTATAAATTATTAGTTAAATAAGTTTTTGACAAAATATAAACTTGACTATTTTAAATATTCATGCAAATGCTTGCAAAAGGGACTTACTTTAGCTCTTCATCACAGTCAATATTTATAGTTTCATCAAGAAACCAAAGCCTATATTATGGCTCAAGAGGATTTTGACTTTAAGAGGGTCTTAAATTTATAGAAAACCTTTATAACTTATCAAGAGAAACATATAGCATTAAAGATGACTATAAAGAATCATCACTTTCTATAGAAACTTACATACACTATCTCAATGCCTAGCTTGGTTAAATTGGTAATTTATTATAA